TTTACGACATCACTTTTATAGGCTGTGACCATTGGTTCATTGGTGATGATGCGGGCAACAACATACATATGACCATTACAGTGGTGTGAACTAGTCAGTCTGGTGCCATAGTGTGTAAGAAAATGACATGAAAGGTTTGCACTCAAGTTTGCTCACCAAAGCATTTGTATGCTTTTGATAAAAGTGTATGTGCTAGACCCAGAAACCTAGGCTGTGTATGCTGAAGACTACATACATACACAGTTACACTGTCCTTGTTTTAACCCTTTGGCTTTGCATGATTATATTATTTCTTGTTCCTTCCAGTAATACTACATGGTCCTCTGGATCAAACCGTTCCAATTAACCAGCAAGCAGAATTTCAATGTGAGACAGATGGTGGTATCACTAGCTGGGTCTTCAATGGAATACCAAGACAAGACCTCCCACAGGAGGTGGAAGATGATCTGGAAGTCGTATCAACTAATACTGATAAGGGCACTTCAGTGGAGACTCTGACCTTCCCAGCCAGACCTGAGTACAATTGTCATACCGTTCAGTGTGTGGTACTGAAATCTGGTGTTGACTATGTCGAGAGTGAGCCTGCAACCTTGACAATAATTGAAGGTTTGTGTTAAATAATATTCAACATCCACTTTCTACCAGTATACGAGTATTGGTCCTGCATATATGAGCCCTGCAAGGATGAATGCTGTCCTGTCTGCAGATTTGTTGGATATCCCTAGACAAATGACATGTATGAACCCTGCATTTACGTACAGGATTGTATTACTCCAACACTAGCATTATGTATTAGCAACCTGTATCTCCTGATGTTGCATGTTTAGCAAAAACATACGATAGGAAGAGTAAAGTCTATATTTTGACTTCATCTAGACCGTTGAAAACTTGCCATAACTTGGCTTATTTTTCATCCAATTTTAGAAATTCACGCAGCAATGGAATCCTCGCACTCTTCCGAGTCTAACCATATGTTTTACTAAGCCTGAATCCTACCGGTCAAAGTTACCTGTATGTCCCATAAGAAAAGAAAAGCTTGCCATGAGTAATGTGGTTACTGTATAAACTGTGACATCCGGGTCCAGGTGGCTTGTTCTGAGATACTATTGAGCCTATGGGAGGGTATTTCAGAAATGGCTCCAAGCAAAGCCACACAGAATATTTTGGAACTGTCTTCCTCTAGTGTAACGTACTGATGAGATAAGTTGGTAACTCAACATTTTCAGGTCTATCCTCATCATCTGTGGTTGATTCTCAAGCTACAAACGCTGCCAGCTCAAGGACCATTTCTATGCCAGCTACTCTTTCCCCAACTCCAAGCAAAAGCATTCTAACTCCAAGCAAAATCATTCTTCAAACTTCGAGTGTAATGAGTAAAACCTCTAGTGGAAATGGAGGTAAGAGCATCAATCAACTTGAATAAAAACTGTGTTGAATCTGATTTTTTTAGACGTCCACAAAGAGGACAGTAATGTTATTGCTGGCTCAATTCTGGCTGCTGGAGTCCTTGCTGCTGGAGTCCTTGCTGCTGTAGCAATAGGGACAGGTGCTATTGTCATCATAAAGGTTTTTAGATCTTGCAAAAGAAGGCAAAAACCTGAGCAAGTATATGCGATTGTGTGTTTTTGTGATTATATTACACATGGCTCTTTAGGAAACTGGGGTGGGTTCTGAGGATCGCTCCTTTACACTGCTTGTTAAAGGTACAAATGTTCAATCTAACCATCTCCATGTTCTAAAACTAGAGTCTGTATGTTAATTAAGCTGAGGTCGGCTTTGTGAATGATAGCAGTCTGATGGAGAGTGATGAGATGGGACCCAGGACAGGAAAAAGTAGCTCCTCTGCCTCTGAGGTTCTGACTACATAGCGTGTGATTAACAGGCATGTAATTAACCTCCTTCAGCAGAGCAAAGCACCAATGCCCACCTCTCCCCACAACCAGGTGACTTTTGATCCATGCAGATATCACATGATACCCACATGAGCCTTACGTGTGGATGGTGCTCTTACAGGCTAATCAAGATGCTGGGCAAGGTGGCGGTTCATCTTCCAGGTATACACTCATGTAGTACAAACACCACAATATTTGTGCAACTCTCTTTCTCATGCAGTGATGTTGAAAATAACCCGGAGGAAAATTGGACTGGAAGTATGTAAACCTTTGGTGACTGTGTTTGTTTATATAGCCATCTGAAACTCTGTGCCTCTCTACATTGTAGAGTCTGCTTCATGCAATGTTGGCGGCAGTGATAAGTGTGTGGTGGTTACAGGAGTGCACCAGCAGAAACCCCACAATGACAGCAATGATGGTGGCCTCAGGGGAGGAAAGGTATGGTAAGAACATCCCAGTGGCTGTGTGCAGTGTTAGCAGTCCTGTCAATGGATGTCTTAGGAATCTATATTAGGTGGCTGTCCAGGACAGGAGAAGGCAGCCACAATGAACTGCCTTACTGGTCAAGCTCCCAGCAACGACAGCCAGGGAAGCATAAACCCTGAGGGGGGAGAAAAATGTGAGTGCCAAACTGATGGTGGGAACGATGGATTTGGTAAGAAAGTAAAAATCCAGAACTCTCTTACTGACACTGATTTGTGTGTCTGTGCTGGTAGTTTGGACCAATCCTACGTATCTATATAATTTCCAAGAAGAGATGTGCTTCATCCATTCTTCTCCTTTGAATGGTAAGTGACAAACAGTCAAACTGCTTTACACGTGCTATTCCTTGATTACTGTAATAGATTTTGTGTATTTTGGTGATTTTTGTGCTGCTCCATTGCGAGAATTTCTGCTGCATCATCCTACTAATGTACTAATGATTGTTGTGTAAACTTTGGAAGCCAGACAATCACTACGCCTAGCACTAGATGTTGTGATAAGGACTTCCTGTCCAATACTGATATCGGTCAGCCCACATGAGAATACAGCATATATTCCAAGGATTGTTTGAAGTTGGACTACAAAGTTATGTATCTGTCCCTTTCTTTGTTACTCCCATGCCTTTTCTTTCTTTTTCCCAGAAAAAAGCTGGGCACTAGATAAGTGGATAATGGTCAAAACTAAATTTGGTTACTGCTTACCTTTTGACGTTTTTTTTATATAACAGCCGATATCACCATGGTATCTGGGAGACAAGGCAGTGTGGGTACCAGTGTGCCAGGAACTTTGGGTCTGAGGCCTGAGCCACTGCTGGAGGAGACTAAGAATGCATCTTCATTGTTCCTGGGTAATATCTTCTTTTTTTAACTACTTCGATGTCCACTGGTTTTGTTTTATTTTCAGGTCAAATCCAAAGGCCCCAGAAAGTACCCCATTCAAAGCCACTTGTCCAGGCCACACATTTGGTAAGCAAGTGCCGCAGGAGGAAGAAAGGAGGGACGACTCCTGAAATCTGCCAGGATCCATGGCTAGGTTTGTGGGATTTGAGTGTGGTAGTATATTACGTGTCTTGGCTTGGTTTTCACAGGCAATTACCGTGTAGAGCTCATGAAGTCATTGCACATTAATGTGGATCTCGGATTTGGAAACTGTAATGAGAGCTTCTATGGCAGTTCCTGTCAATAGCCTTGGCCTGTATCTCTAGACCAGCCACAGCTGCTATTGAAACAGCAATATACTATGTATACTAGGTACAGCATCTTATTCCTAATGTACCATTCTTAGCATTATTACTATGTACTTTTGTAGTCTCCTATATACGGTTTGTGCTATACACTGTATTCCATTCCACACCCTGGTATAATGACATAGATTGAGTGTTTTTGATATTTATATACTGCATGCAGGAATGTGCACATGCTTGTGCATAGCCCAGCCACTGAAGCTGCTATGGCCTGGCGCGTGCCCCGACTCATACTCCATGAATAAAGGGGTGTGGCTCACATGTTGTATTTCACACGCTGCTCTGATTCTCATCCCTGTTCTTTGTTTCACCTGATATGAATTGGGACTTCCAGTTGCAAATGTTATAATGGTAGTTGCAATGTTAACCCATTGTAAACATAGGCAGAAATTCAGTTGTTAAAATCAGCTTGTCGGTTAACGTTGTAGAGCTTAAAAGGATTATGCTCACAGTGAGATGTAAAAATAGTAACGGTGGATAACACAGCATATATAGGTGCACTGGGTAAAAAGGCAGACAATGAAAACAAACCAATGGCAGATTACACACATTACTTCAAATCTTCATATATAGGGTTTGGGGTTTGACAGTACTGTTGGGGTCCTCTGTGGCCTTTTCTCCGATGCTGTGGTTTATCCAACTCATATGCCATGTTCTTCTCCATTGCCACACGTTGGGAAGAAGCTGCTGATGACTTAGCTACTTTTCTAAAGAGGAAACGTGTAAAATTAGAAAAATAAACTCAGAAGTTACCTTCCCTTCTTTCTCTGTGTTTCATGAGCACCTTTACTACAATGATCCCCATCACAAACAAAATGCATGTAGCAATAGCTCCCATGCATACACCAACACCAATTCCTGTTTGTATCGATTAAGATACACGAATGGAGCATGACTGTTTACCTTCAGCACACCAGGGATTTGGAATAACAAGTGGCCCTGAGATGCACACAAGTTGATATACCATACATTTTGTATATACTTAGGATGGACATACTATCAGTAGGAGAAGGTTGATTGTTGACAGAGGATGGGTGGGGACCATGGACAGTGGCCACAGTGATGTAGTCGGGATCTCCAGGAGCTGGAGAACAAGAGTCCTCCCCTTCTCCTGCCCCCAGACCGTAGACCAACACTGTGTATGTGGCAGGGAGGAGGCCAGGGAACCTGTGGACACCCTCTCCCTCCCCCTCCACACACCCTCCCTCCTGGAACCCTCCCTCCACCTCACTACTCACCAGCTGCACATAGCACCTCTGGGAGAGGGTGTCTCTGAACACACACCTCACCACTACCTCTCCCTCAAGTTCACCAACTTCAACCCTGACAACTCTCGTATCTGGAAAATGTTATGAGATGTGTTCAAGTTACACTAACAAATCTATGGTTCGATAATGTGTGTGTGTGTGTGTGTGTTTGTGTTCAAGTTACACTAACAAATCTATGGTTCGGTGACAAGCCATCTTCTTACTCACTGATTGAGAATATTCTGCTGGAGTCCAAGGCTTCACTAGGAGAGGCTACATTGACAGTGTAATTACAGTCTCTCTCCAGGACCACCTCAGATTGTACAAGTGGAAAAATCATTTCTTCAAAATGAAAGGGGGATATAGGGATGGCTTGAAGCACCAAAAAGGAAGAAACAAGGGGTCATTACACAGCAAAGTTGCACAAAGCTACATGACACCATCCCTATATCTTTGTTTTATTGTTTATAAGCAAAGTTTCCCTTGAGCTAAGTATACATGCAAGACAACCTCTATTACAGAGCCGTATATATAACAACAAAGATATAGGGATGGTGTCATGTAGCTTTGTGCAACTTTGCTGTGTAATGACCCCTTGTTTCTTCCTTTTTGGTGCTTCAAGCCATCCCTATATCCCCCTTTCATTTTGAAGAAATGATTTTTCCACTTGTTTCCACTATTTTTAACAGCTTCTGGCAACACTGCATTATTGTTACAGTCACTCTGATGTTCATGGCTATGTTGTAGATAGGCTACCATAGACAAATTGAAAGTAGTAGCTAATGGCTGCTAGATACCATGTATTGTCTTCAACAAGGATGTAATTAGATTATTGCACATGGTTGTGGTTTCATTGGCAGGCTTTGGTAATCAGGCTACAACCTGGGGGGGACAAACAATGAAGGCCCATTTGACTGAGTGCCCCGCAAGGCTCGCGTAACACCGCGCAGACTCTGGCAAGTTGCTCTTCGTGCATATCAACAGCAAGATAGCCAGTTGGAAATGTGCACACCTTACTTACAGAAGGTACTGGAGGCTGACAGTTCCTCTGCAGGTCTGCCAACTCGCCCGGTAGAATACGCTCGCAAGCACATTGGACAACGCCCCTGCCTTGCGCATGCGCGGGGATCACTGATGCTGAGTAAGCAGCAAATGGCGTTGTTCAGGTCGACCAGGGAAGAGCTCCATGATCTACCGTAGTGACTAGCGGCAAGAAAGAAACGATCGCTTGATGTCCGTGCACACCTCCGGCGAAATTGGAGACCTTCAGTGAAAAAATCAGTGCTTGAACTGGTACTGGTAAGGAGATAGCGGGTTTAAAGAAGAAGAAGAAGAAGAAGAAGATGAAGAATAATTATGATGACACGAAAATCGTGAAATCGCGTATGAGCGAATTCTCGCGTGGACGACTGAAGGTGCGTATGAGCTCTTGGGGGACATGTATAGGTAGATATGGGCCCGTAGACTATTGCTAGTATGTTTTGAAGGCCTAGAAAGTGATTCTCACCGAGTTTTTAGTCGTTTTGTACGCGGATCACGTGAGATTTCACCCGTGTCATCCCTATATAGAGAGTCTACCGACTCTCTAATTAGCCAGATGTCACCTGGAGTTAGCTCTGGGGAAACCACTGATACTACTGATGGACATTGTTCCTGAGTACTACTGTTGTAGTAGAGTTTAAGGTGTTCCTGAAAGCACAACACTGAAAATGCAAACAGACAAACATTGAAAAACATTTTATTCGCCAGAGTACCTGTGTTGTTTATCATGAAGAGTTGTGCTGTAAGCATAAGTTGAAACACATTTCTCGGTTTTTTGAAGACTGTAATATTCGCCTCATGATCTGACAGATACCTATGATCTATACAAATGTATTATGACCATGGTTAACTACAGATCAAACTTACCTGATAGAGTATACTCATGTAAGGAACTAGTAAGATAAGAATCCTCTCCCTGGCCAGCTCCATTCAGAGGGATGACAGAGAAGTTGTACACATGACAAGGACTGAGGTAGTCAGGAGTGAAGGTGTAGTGTGTCTGAGTGATATTGATACAGTCAGTACAGAGGATGGCTGTTGGGTTGTTCTCATCTGTCACATTGTAGATGAGGACAGAGTACCAGATATCAGGATCAACACCAGTCACATCCAGAGAGAATGGAGCACTCCACGAGATGGTCACTGAGCCAGCATTGCTGATGATACTCAGACCAGCCACTGCTGACAGTGGACCTGGATATCATGGTAATAACTTGTAACATTTTAATACTAGCTAATACCTTGAATTGTCAATGATGCATTGTCACTCTCCATGCAGGGCCAAGATATATTACTGACAGACACTGAACTATACTTCCATTGTACTGGGCTCTGGCTGGTATGGTTAGATTCTGCACTGAATGCCCTTCAGAAGTTGTAATTTCTGAGACAACCAGATCAATACGTATGTCTGGCAAAAGAATGTCTCGCTGTGTTCCATTGACTCTCCACAGAGTGATGCCACCTCTTGTCTCACATGTAAAAACTGCTGATCGATTTAGAAAGACGGTTGTGCTTTCAGGAGCATGGAGAATCTCTGAGGAAGATACATAGACTATCAATTTTGTTTAGATTATTAGAGTATAAACCTTGAGCCCCACAAGACAAAGCAAGCAACAGAGCAATGACTAAACTTCTGGTTGAGAAATACATTGTCCTGTATAACTATTCATACAGTATACGAAAGTCTTAGCCTCGATCCCAGGCCTCCTCCCCTCGCTTCTCCCTACTCCTCGCAATACGCGTGACCTTTGAACAGTGCGCAAAGTTAACGTGCCATGTAATGCATAGGAAAATGCATAGGAAAATGCACATTATATTCCGCGCCACTCTGCGGGTATATAATTATAGCCAAACATGTACACCGGTGTCCGAAAATCTCCGGTTTGGCCGTTAGCTTGCACTACGTAACCGGCGTCACAGTATAGTCCGTGAGGATAGTATACTCTTAGTGAGGCATATCCGGGGTCCGGATATTTTATCCCTCTAAAGGTTAGATGCCGAGTCCAGGAAACTACGCGAATTAGAGAGCCGCGGGGGCCCTGAGCTGTCGGCGTTCGAGCGCAGCGAGGACGCTACTAATCGCGTAGTTTCCATGACGAGGCGTCTAACCGGTTTAGTAACGCGTTCGTTCAAACCAAACGCGCGTTGGAGAAATGGCGACAGGCTTCGATATCTTCGGAGAGACGCGAACTGCTCTTGCCACTTTCAACTTCAGCCAGGGTAGTATAGTCTCAGTGAAGCACGCGTGCGCATGCGCGATAATTAGAGTCCGCTCACGAACCAATCAGATTGCGCGATTTAAAAGTTTCTGCGCATAATATGCGCAGAAACTTTTAAATCGCGCAAACGGTAAACGCGCGGGAAAATCGACCATAATTATTGTTGGCGCCGCCTGCACTCCTTCTCTTCTTCTCTTCGAGACTCAGCGGTTGCGCGGGTCTGCTCGCCTTCACGGCTAGCCTCTTGACGTCTTCTGCTCGCCTTCACGGCTGGAGCCTCTCCTCTGCTCGCCTTCACGGCTGGAGCCTCTCTCCTCTGCTCGCCTTTTTTAGCGTGACAAGACACTGAGCAAGGTATGTTATATTCAGGACTGCATGTAGGATTCTTTATGGGGTACCACCTGTAGTGTCAGTAAGTAGTGTGATATACCCTATTTTGTACTCAGGCAGTTGTTGATGGTAGCAATTTTTCAATTTTCTGCGGCTTTCAACATACTGGTGGAAAGGAATGGCAAATGATGTATCTGAGTATTGCGAACGATGTGACACATGTCAACGGGTTAATAACCGTCTTGGTAGGGCTAAGGCTGAATTTCATCCTATCCCTGTCACTGACGTCTGGAAACAGATTGGAATTGACCTGATTGGTATGTTCCAGATGATATGGATGATTGTGTAACAACATGCATGATGCATACTGTAGGTCCACTGACTGAGACACCTCGGGGAAACAAGTACATCATCACGTCAACTGAGTGAGTACTTCTCCAAGTGGCCTGAAGCTGCTCCACGCAGTGGGCGTGGCAGATTTCCTGTTCTCTCTCTTTTGTCGTCACGGCTGGCCTGAGAGGATCATATCTGACCAAGGAAGAGAATTTGTGAATGCTGTCTCAAGGTACATTGGCATACACATTACTTAAGCATACTCCACTGAGTTTATTGTGCATGCATGCTGGATATAATATGTTTTGTGTTTTTTGTGAGTGATGGCGTTTTCCACTTTAGGGCCTTGTATGAACGCACCAACATTGAGCATCGCATCAGCAGCCCCTACCACCCACAGACATCAGCATCAGCCACAGATAAATGGATTGGACGAGCGCACTAACCAAACGTTAGTACACACATTGACAAAGTTTACCGAGTCAAAGGAGGAGTGGGACCAGTGCATTGATGCTGCACTGTATGCGTACCGCATTGGCATCCAAGATTCATCCAGATTCAGCTGTTCCACTCACTGTTACTGTTACTATTCCACAGTCCGCTGGTGTATCTCCAAACCTTAGGCCGCGTCCGGCCCTTCAACGAACAGTACTGGTCTCATAATCTTTCCAGGCTCCGTTCAATGTGCCCTCGTGTTCTATTTAACGGAGCCACTCGTGCGTCACGTAAACCATGCGCCGACATCGTACAACTATAACCTGTAGGCCCAACCAATACTGAATAGACATAGCCAAAATTCGCGATCCTGGAGATGGAGGCCTAAGGCAGATGATGGAACAATGTTGAACCAATCGCTGGCGTGTCGGATCGAAGTCGAGAGAGCAAGGGCTTTTGAACGAGGGCTAGCGGCAGTGGCCAATAGGTCAGCAAAGGAGGTTTCGTCAATAGCCCGTGAAAGGGAATGTTGGGAGAGAGGAACATCACCTGGATGGACTCCCAAAGTCTGGTGTGCATGCAGCTCGATTGGAGGGAGTAGGGAAGTGGATTGCGGGCGGAGTGGTCCGACCCAGAATTTAATTCTGTAACGCATCATGGTCATGAATTCATTTACCTATACATTATTATTATGATGCAACAGCTACACTTGATTATACGCGGACTATAATAATTGCGCGTGTGGCACACGCGTTAATTTGCGCGGAGGAGGGCCGGTATAATGTAGAAAGCGAGGCTACGAAAAATAGTCCAACTTCAAACAATCCGGCGCTTGGAATATAGGCTGTATTCAGAGCTGGGGGCTGACCAATATCAGTATTGGACAGGAAGTCCTTATCACAACATCTAGCGCTAGGCGTAGTGCGAATTGTCTGGCTTCCAAAGATTACGCAACAATCCATTCATTAGTAGGATGACGCAGAACATTGGCGGCTAGTTGGTAACCGTCAGGCGTCGCGTCTCGCGCGTACAGGATATCTTCCTCGGCTGTTAACAGTGGTGCGCAGGTCGTGTGGACGGACGGTTCGTTGTTGTCCTCTTCTAGCTACTGAAAGTGTTCAAGAAGCGCTACAGAGACTTGTTGTCGAGAGTTGTTCACCCAGGTCGGATCAACTATACCCCCAGGTCGTTTAGCTAGCTAGTGTAAGTTAGGGCTAACGGGCTGAGGGCAGCTGAGACAGCCGTAAAAAGCGCGGGCGCGGTTTTAGTTTTTTGCTCGTCTCGGTACTAGCCCCTCTCACAAGAAAGCACTGCTGTCTGGGTTGAGCGTTCTCGGATTCCCCGCTCTCTCCCTCGCCAGTTTAGTTTAGAGGGATGACAGAGAAGTTGTACACATACGGACCAAGGACTGTACGGGGTACCCAGACTATTCTGTGGCAGCTTGCTGTAAGGTAGACTGAATATTGGACGCTAGGAGAGTGTTAATGGTCTCGCGGTCATGAGCTGAGGTGAACGGAAAAAATTTTACTAGCTACACATACCCTAGTGAGTGTTGCGTGATAACTCTGCTGTATGGTGTAGCCATATCTTGCCTGATCAGTGGCGTGTTTTTTAAACATTTTTCCCATGTTACTTCATATAAGTTTTGAGTCAAGAAATTTGTTGTTGGTTACCCAATGCCATAAGCAAAACAGGTTATGAACATGGGTTACGAGCTAAGAAAAATGAAAATGCTGACCAACAGATTTCGTGACTCAAAACTTAGTCTTATATGAAGAACCAACCCATTTTTCGCTGCTTGAGCTTACTAAAAAGTTCTGAGTATTTGGGAGTTACGGGAATGTGGCACCATAACTCTAAGGGCTAAATGTTACATAAAATTAAATTGCGGCCCGACGTTGATACAATTCAGCTCGCCCTCAAAAGAGCAGATTTGGTAGCTAGTGTTGGCATAGTATTACAGTCCTTCCATGCGAATGAGGGCCTGGTATATTTTTTTGAGTTGGCAAGCTTATCGGATTGTTGGACAGTCTCTCTGGTACACGTGGTGGTGTATGCGGACAAACTAGAGCAAAGAAATGACATTACAGTATTAGGGCTAGGGTTTGGGTATGAGCTAATGCTGAGAGGCAAGGTCGGTAGGTGTGGCACAAATGGGTGATCTCGGAAACCTGTTCCTATATTACCTGTGTGCACATGTGTGGGAGAGGGTGTCAAGTATCGTCATAATTACTACTATGTATTAGTATGTCAGTATTCTGACTGTACGAAGATACTTCCCCAGCCGGGTGTCCAGACCCTCCTTTGCTTTTACCCAAGACTGCATAATAACCAGGTTTGTTTAACAATTCCTCTACAGCCCCAAGAGCCAGTGATTGCAGTGGATGATCAAGTCATGGCTCCAAGTAAGTAATTAACTTTCAACTTGAAATTGTAGTGAGTTTTACAGTACTTGGTCTGTGTGTGCATGTGTGTGTTTGTCTGTCTGGTACAATAATTCCTGGCACTTCAAAGAGAATAAGCAATTTAGAAATTTCCCGACTACAGTTGGCTCACTTAGCTCGTCAATTACCAATCAAAGTTTACTGAACTAGTCTTCCTCCTAGTCACATGTGTAAATGTAAAAACATGTTTTCATGTGTAAATGGAATCATAGTCTATGTATGTTTATTTCTTGTGCTACCTCATCAGAGTTGTCCTGTATTCATGGGTTGCATGTATTGGGGGTATGGAACGTTGTTGTGATCGTGGCGTGGAATCGGGGATGGATTGAGGATCGCGGTTTTGTGACCGAGGATCGAGGAGTGAAGATCGAGGATCGAAACCCACGATCGCAGTGCGCGTTGTCACCTTCCATAAGTTTACCTGATCGAATTTTTGTCCGCAACAGCATTCCATATTTGGGGGACCTTTCTAGTCTAGTCATCTGATTAACCCTCAGCATGCATGCACAGCGAGGGTTACAGTACTTGGTCTGTCTGTCTGTGTTTGTGTCTGTTACCACGTTTCTGCCACCACGTGCAACAAACAGGCCAAAAAGCGACACCAACAGGTTCAGCACTATGCTGGCTTCATTTTAAAAATGAAGATTTTCGTAAAAAATACTGCGTTCTAAAGTTATGGTGTGAAAAAAACCAAGTGATCAAGCCAATATGCTAATCAGCACAGGCTTACCTCGACCGGGTCCGCTTGCTCTGTGTTGAAAGTGTGTATCTTGAAGGCACAAGAAAAGTCACAACGAAGGGTGTGTATCGACTCCCGCATCTACTGCTGTAGCTAGTCAGTGTCAGACTCTCTGTGAGCTACTAGCGGGAGACCACGAGTAAACGCATACTCATAGCCCAGCCCATCAATTAGCAGCATCGCACATGCACAGTTCACAGAGGGGTTGCACTTTAGTGCATTTCATTGTACTATCACCACGTAGTGGTTCAAGATCACACTATATGTCGGATACTGTTGGGTTCACTTACAATTTCTTACAGGTGGAGGAGTTCTGGTGTTGCTTCTACTAATTCCAGCCCACTGTTTTGCCCAAGGTAATATTTAATCCTTGATACTGTTTTGCTGTCGCCTAGCAACCTAATCTAATTGGCGGCTATGGTAAGTAGATCCCAATGATGACTGCAGGACAAACAGTTTGGGTCTTGAGTGTAAAAGCATAAACATACGTAATCTACATGATAATATCCTAACATAAACCATGCCAGATGCACGGCAATGTCACATATGCATAAAAATATATAGTACACTCCAACTGTCATTCTTTCCAGAGATTCTCCATGCTCCCGAGAGTACAACTGTCTTTCTAAACCAACCGGCAGTTTTTACATGTGAAACAACTGGTGGTATAACTTCGTGGAGTGTCAATGGAACACAACGAGAAATCCTTTTACCTGAGATACGTGTTGATCTGGTTGTTTCAGAAAAATACCACTCCTGAAGGTACTACAGTGCAGAATCTGACCATTCCAGCCAGAGCCCAGTACAATGGAACTAGAATTCAGTGTCAGTCAGGGTTATTTGGTGGCTCCTCCGTGGAGAGTGACAACGCAACATTGACCATTCAAGGTATTAGTTCTTTACACCTCCAACTGTTTGCTAACACTCTACTTGTATTCACTTTCTGTGTGTCTGTTTGTTATCCCTCGGCATGCATTATTTTAGGAGTTCTATTTTTCTATTTTTCTTACACGCGTATATGCTGTGCGTTATTTAGAATAATCGCACGTTTTTTTATGTCTCCGTCGTGTCGTCGTGCTGCGTGAGTTTCAGAGTTTTTATATTTTTCTATGAGTTTATTGGTCCTTTGAGGCTTTCTATTTTTCTACCGGCTGTTGTTTTTATCCTGTAGCTGTCGTTTTTTGTACATGATTTCTATCTATTTATTTTATAACTATGTGTAAGGGAGGTTGGGACACTGGGTGTGTAGGGAGAGTTGGGCCCATAAAAGACTCTTTAACCTACCGCCCGGGTTCTCAAGGCTGGGCACCCAGGGTCCTGCCTCTTTCTTTCTGTTTATATGTTATTGTCTGTGTTTTTGTACGCTTGGGTATGTTACTGTCTGTGTTTTGTGTGCTTGGGTGGGGGAGGTTCTTTCTTTTCCTCTGAGCTAGTATGCTATAAACATGTTTTTTCATGCATGCAATGAGGGTTACAGTACTTTGCTTGTGTTTGTCTATGTGTCTGTTATCGATATTCTGGACTACAGTCTACGATGTAGTCAGTGGGACATACCAATGGCTTTGAGGCAGCAAGAGCATTGTTAATTTTCGTTAAACCACTGCATTTGAGAGGTGTAGTGTGAAAGACATGAGTGGAAAAGGCAATATGCTAATAAGCAATGGTCTACCTCAATCCATAAGCACACCGTGGGGGGCACAAAGTTACTTGGAGGACGAGTATATCCAGTTCAGCAGTGCTCCAAACGCTATTCCTAGCTTACACGTAGAGCAAGAAACCTGTTTGCATATTTTCACATTGTAACACTCATATGTAGGTACACTGTACACATGCAGAGCAAGCTCTGTAGGCACAGTGAGAAATGTTGTGTTAGCATGTTGTTGTAAGTCAGCTCTTTGCATTGTGTACTCAGCGCTCACTCAGATTGTGTATACAGTATATACAGTTACAGTTACAGTATATACTTGGGTTATGGGTGAGTTTGTGGAAACATTCCCCTGAGTGCCGGAAATGTTTGTGTAAACTGTTTATACAGCTTCCTGTACTTCACTTATGACATACTTTTCTACCTACCTGTTTCCTGTTTACAGAGCTTCACATTGCCACTATCATGCCATTTGTGCTACTCATTAGCCTATCCTCTACAATGACAAAGATTGTATACTCAGGGGGCTCCTTAGCAGTTGTGCACACACATGCACATGGAAGTGTGGACTCACGTGGTGGATAGTAATGCAAACAAAGTCCAAGTAACATTAACTCAGTTCTACAACCTAGTGGCCAGATAGTTAGGTGAATATCAATTGTAGGTGGATGTACTGTTTAACTGTATTTTCATTGTTCTTGCATGCACATGCAACTGGACGTACTTTATATGTTCTAGAAATATGTACTGTCTCAATCCATATGAATTGCATCCAGGTACACACGTCAGAAGTAGGTGATTTGAGAACCATTAGCAATGCCAGCTCAGTGACCATCTCATGGAGTGCTCCATTCTCTCTGAATGTGACTGGTGTTGATCCTGATATCTGGTACTCTGTCCTCATCTACAATGTGACAGATGAGAAAACCCAACAGCCATCCTCTGTACTGACTGTATCAATATCACTGAGACACACTACACCTTCACTCCTGACTACCTCAGTCCTTGTCATGTGTACAACTTCTCTGTCATCCCTCTGAATGGAGCTGGCCAGGGAGAGAGCAGTCCCTTTATTACTGGATATGTTATCAACTGTGAGTACATGTTATAGTGGGAATTATTTTTGCTTCTGTAACTTTCATTTTTCGTACAACAGACAACAAACTCTGTAACAATTCTGTTCTCTTTCTAGTGTCAGCACTTATAGAGACTCACATCCGAGCTATCTCTAGGGATGAGAACAATGTTACGTTTACGGTCAGTATTAATTTTAGTACAATACACAGTACTAATGTTTCAATGTCTGTTATTTTTGTGGTAGAGTAATCCCACCAGTGGATTTTGTAGTAGCTGGAGAGTCACTCCTGATGTAGATGATGATGATCTTGTCATTGAAGAGCCACCATCACCAGAAGGACCAGATGTCACCTACCAACTCCGTGCTGACAATAGATATTCATTCCTGGTGTCCCTGTCTAATACCACTAGTGGAGTAGCCCCCCTGCGGATCAATTTCAGTAATTTTTTTGTTGTGACAACCAGCAGTAGCTACGTAGATGTTAATACCTTACTAACCCTTAAGTGGAAATGTCAGAGGGTGTGTCTTTTGTGCCCAATACTACATGTACATAGTAGGTCCACAGTTTTCTGTATTCACATGAAACACTCGTATGCTGCTTACATTTGTATGGTCATTGAACAGTCCTTGTTATGCATGAAAAATCCATATGCATACCCAATTGAAATTCATTTGGATATTATGCTGTTATCTATTGTGCCAAGGGCAATGATTGGATATAATTATGTGTCTACAGCTACTTATGATGTCCAGAGTGCTGCCGCTGACACCACCAAGGGTACCAATAATAAGATAAATTTAAATGGAGAGTTCATTAAAGACACGACGGCTAAAGGGTGTTTCGTAGTTTTACAATGTGAATATGGAAATCCTGATGTGTTCATAGCCCTACTACTGCCTGATGACTCCAGCACCTATGTACAGAGTACTATTCATGACATTTTATCTTCAACGTACAATATGTTTGTCTATGACCTTGAGGAAGATGGACTGCCTGACAGCCATCCTGCTGTTGAACAGAACACTACTGTCAATGTTACGGGGAACGGTGAGTGTCTGCTGATTTATACATTTGGCTTTTATTCCTCATTCCAATTTCTATTGCAGGTCCCATCGCTGATGCAGAATCTGAATTTATAAACAATGCCAGTTTGTACTGGAATGGGTCAGCAGTGACTATCACGTGTGAGTTCAAAGAAGGTATAGAGGGAGCCTCATGTGTCCTGGTCTATCGAGAGTATGGTAACAAGACACTACTGATGAAGAAATATCACCAGAACACTGTCTTCCCTAAGACACTGACTGTTGGTGGAGATCTTGAGAAATACACATTTGCTATATTTGGAAAGGATGGTTCCATAGTCGATCAAAGACCAATTATAGCAGGAAGAATGAATGTTACCGAGACAACTACACCAACTATTACCGAAGCAACATTCTCTGGTATGTCTGATTAACCCTCGGCGCGCATGTCTGTCTGTGTGTGTGTGTCGACGCTTATTCTGGCACTACAGGCTACGAGGCGGCCCGGCCCATTAGCGATACCAGCGGATTCAGAACTACAGGAGCCTGAAATATTATTAGGCGATTTTCCTGAAACGACTTCGTTTGAGAGTTATGCCGTGAAAGCAAGCGAAAAAGCCAATATGCATAATCGCACTGTGCTTACCGCGACCTGATCCGCTCGCTCTGTGTACCTTGGGGGCTCAGGAAGTCACAACCAATGGCATGTCATGCTATCTACTACTGTAGCTAGCCCGTGTCTGACTCTCCGCGGGCTACTAGCAGAAGACCACGAGTAAACGCAAATAGCCGGCCCAGCCCATCAATTAGCAGTATCGCGCATGCGCAGTTCGCCGAGGGTTTGCGCTTTAGTGCTTTTCATTATCCCTTGACTTGCATTTGGAGTATGGTAAATTTCTTGTTAACCCTCGGCGTGCATGCACAATGGGGGTTACAGTACTTGGATTGCCTGCCTGGCTACCAGTTAAACCTCAACTGCTACGCATAGTGTACACATCAACTCTATGTGCCCGCATTCCTTGCGCCGAGGGTCTGTACTTTATTGCTTTTTCATTCTGTCAGTTCTTGTATAGGATAGATGTGTATGTACCTACAAGCATAATGTTTTCCTTTTTTCTAGATGGAAGAGTATCATCAGTTGCTATTGGAGTGTCAGCTACTGTATTGTGTATCATCGTTATTCTTGTCATCTTGGCTGTAGTGTGCTGATTTTGTGGAGGAAGGTAATTTGTGTCACTAATTTTCCATCAGAAATGTTCATATCTCTTATTGTAGTCACACAAAGGTGGTTACAGCTCCTCTGATGTAGTTCCCAGTTGCTTTTGTTCTCCTTCCCCGAGTGAATGCAGTAATGCTAGTGTAGCCAGCGGTTCTCAACTGATATCAGATGATGGTGGAACCAAACCTAAAAAGGATGGACCTGCTGAAGGAGAAGCCAAACCTCCATTTAGTGGGAAGTCCTCGTACCAAAGACAGGACGGTGACGTAAGTGTGAGCACTCCTCCAGTGATATCCAAACAAAAGGGGGTATACACCGATGTGGAACTCCCAACATCAGGAGTGCAACCCCCTATCCCAGAGGACTCCATAGTCCAGTACACGGAGGTTGACATCAGAACTACTCATGTCAGCTGATGATCACATGATAGTCACATGACTCATGTTATGATCTTCTCTTCCCTCAGAAAATGGCCCTTTCTCAATATGCTGACCTGGGACCTCTTCCTACCAACAGGCCAAACCCCCCCAAGATTGAGACCAAGACACAGTGTCCCTATGTTGATGTCCTACCTCACGCCACTACTCCTGACAATGGCAACGGAGGTTAGTAGTATGGATTAGTAGGTAATGTGTTCTACTGTATATACCTCATTCAGACAAGAAGAATGCAGACAAGGCAACACCCAAAGGTTGAAAGGCTGCAATGCCTCGTTACTTGTTTACATTATTACATGTCTCCCCACCCCCTAGGACCCCCCACAGTGGAGTCAGTGATGTCACTGTTGTGGGGTGTGGCAGGTCGTTGGAAGGAGATAGCAGAGGGTCTGGAGTTTGATGAGGATCTGATTGATGAGATAGACACCAACAACGACACTGATGAGGGCTGTCTGCAGGTGTGTGTGGGGATGTGGGTCACCAAACTACAGCCATCCTGGGAGAAACTGTCTCATGTACTGAAGGAACTGGGGGAAGTGGAACTGGCCCGTCAGGTCGGGAGTGAAGGTGTGTTGTAATCCTCAGCACACCACATGTACGGCAACAGATACACAGTTTGGTTAATATGTTTTTGTGCCTCCATCTGCATGTCCATTTGCTTTCACTATGCACAACAATTAATGTAAGTGCAACTCTGGTAAGGTTTGCTAGGCTCTGTATTCAGATGATATGAAAGCACTGTCACTACTGGTTAGCAGTAATACTTATTATCATAATAGAGTATTGTTGAGAAGTTGTAGCTTTATAAAGTACAAACAATCACAGGAAAAATTTAAATAGTGTACATTGGCAGCCGTGTACGGAAATGACTACATGAAAGAGAATGTGGGTACAAACAATTTTTGTGCTGAGGTTTTCATTCAGTAACACCCGCTACTGTAACTATTTCCTGTGCCACCCCCAGAGTCTCAGCCACAAGTCAAGTCCTTTCAGTGCACTAGCAAGGGTGATAGTGAGGTGGTGACTGGTACTCATGGAAATACACCGCCCCTCACTGACAGCAATATTGATGGAAACAGAGGAGTCGAGGTATGAGCATAGAACCACGAGAGCCCCAGAATAATCTATGTAATCATCGCGCAGAAATTGATGGCAGACGAGGAGCCAAAACCAGTTGTTCACCAATCCTCTGCTCTGTCTGGTGATGAGAAAGTTTATTACTGCTATACAAGTGTGGAGGAAGGTATCATACCAAGTCAAGAATGTGAGCCACAACTCCCATGTGTCCTAATGAGCCTGAAATGCAGTTTCACCACATAATGGCTTTGGCACAATATTATTGTACATGATCAAGTTATGCGTAGTCTTCTTCTAATGTGCACAACGATTTTCCATTTCCTATGCCTAAGTTTTAGTGACACTGTGTTGCACTGCGCTGCAGAAACTGCTGGGGAGTCTATAGACTTTAATAATGCTAGTGTTCATGACACTCAAGTTACAGCTGTGCCTAAAAATCATGTCTCTTACTTGCAACATGACATCAATGTGATGTGTGTGCATTAATTGCAGTATGACTGAGTATGTATACCTAAGTACCAAGTTTTGTGTCTCGGTGTGTATCACTGTAGTTTATTCCTTTGTAGTGACTACTACCTTCTTCCACAAACCTAAGAGTCGCTACATTCTTAAAGGTAAATACCTTAACAATACAAACCCTCTTGTTAACGTTGGATATTATGCAGTGGATGGTGCCTGTGTGGTTGTAGTCAACATCAATGCCCGTCCTGGTGGTTAGTAACTGCTAATGGTAAAATTTTTGATCTTCATTAGATATTTCACTATCAGTTACTGAGGGTTCAGTTAACATGCAGCAAACAGATCACTTCAGGCAGAGGTCTGTTGCCAGATCTGAGCCGACCAGCAAACCGACTGGTAAAATGCAATAAAATTCATACCTTGTTGATTGTGCAGCTATTGTCCAACTCGCAGAGCCTCAGCTAGATTCATCTCACCCTGGATGTGGTGGTAGCTATGAGGTTGTGAATGGGGTGGAACGAGCAATCCTACCTTTTGATGACAATGATGGTGAAAACAGGGGAGCGAAGGTATGGTAGAATACACATGTAGCTGATTATGCAACATTGGTACAATCAATATTTTTGTCCCAGAGCACAATGCCAAATGGATCTTCAACCTTACCCTATCTGAACAACTTCACTGTGCAAGGGGGGAAAGAGTATGATAAAGGTTGGTACTGTGATAGATATATACCCATCAATTTTCTGTGATGTTATTAATTAGCCCTAGCAGAAAGCCCTTTGACAACCAAAGGCAAGAGACATCACACCTTTGACACTCCAATGTTGGCACATGGTGCTGGTAGTATATGTTTTGCTGAGGAAAACATTTGTGTTCTTCCGGTGAATAATGAAGGTCAGTGTACACCTTCACAATGAGCTTGTTTACCCAAACTTGTAAAACAGGAGAAGAAGATTCTCATCCCGACCCAACTGGATCTTGGAGACAAGAGTCAGCAGACAACTCCTGCACTGTCCAGGTTTATTAGACTTCAATGCTTGCAATATACGTAACCCATTTGACAAAAATGTTTCTTGTTAGGGTGATGCCAGGGATATGGTGCCAGGTTTGTCATTTTTGTGGCATTTTAGTGGTTTTTACATTCAGTGTCTGTTTCACAGAGGGTGATGAAATAATTCCTTTCGCAAACATCCCGCCTACCTTGCCACACAAAGATGCAGGCAAATGTGTGTGTCCTCCACTTGGCTTTGAAGCCAAAGAAGGTATATATTTTGATATAAGCGTATGAATTTCATTTTAACTGTTCAATTTTTAAAGGAGAGCTTGTTGTGGGAGGCCTAAATGAGAAGTCCAGCCTCCTCGACCCCAGTTCTGTTGAGCCATCCCCAGTGGCGGTTCAGCCCCAGCCTGAGGATTCCACTTCTCTCCAGTCTGAGATCCAGCTACAAGAGAGTGGCCGTTCATCTGAACTAGTCCCCAGACACCAAGGGAGAGAGAATGACATGACCAAACCCATGAAGTGGCAAGGTCTGTAGGATTGGACAGCTGCCCGGCATTGTGTGTCATGTTTCCTGGTCCTCCTCCCACAGACCACAACCAAGGGGTGCTGGTGAGGGGCTTGCAGAGGTTGGGAGTGCCTCTGTCCTGCATTCTTTTGATGACAGGCACCAAGAGCTGTTGTAAAGTACATATTCCTGATGCCAGCTACAAATAAACTATTAAATCTAAACATACTAGAATGTAGTTGTTAGAATACCTAGTTGTTTTACCTAGCTAGTTGTCTTAATGTTCTGTGTCACTGTATTTTTATATGTGACAGGCTCTGCTGGGCACTGCACATACCGTAATTTTCTACATATGTGCAAAACACACGTGCAATATTCAGCTGCTCACGCTCGCTCGCCAACAATGTGTTGCATTCCTCTAGTGGACATGTATGCTCTAATCCAACATCGAACAAAAACTTGGCTGCGACATCGACTTTTACCAATGATGCATAGTTATGCATTGCATGGCACACACACACACACACACACACGCATGCCACCTTTTGCATGCTTGTGATGGTTCATTAGTGTGCTGTCATGTGACATGCTTACTCAGCACTGTGAATACCATATCTAAACATCATGCCATAATGTCTAGAGTACACTGTTACTTACTAACCCATTTCCACATAATTATTTCAAGTGGTATATACATTATTTTGCTTGGTGTCTTATTCAGCAGCATCTATTAATATGCAATGACACTAAAACAGTAACACACATTATGACGATGAATGCACAGCATAAGCCACATTCTGGTCAGTTGGTATTGTGGTGGTGACATAGGCTGTGTTGGGTTCAGTTAGAATGACAGAGGATGAGGTGGTGGTTGGGGAAAGAGCTACCTCATCATACACCACATTTCTTGTCTGGAGACCTGCTGCAAGAGACAACTTAGTAATTAACAACTGTGTATAAAGAAGTATGCTGGAAAATTTTGGTGTGTTATTAAATCCAGATCCTTGTTTGATGATAATCCTATTTACCTGCATCAGATGCATGGTGGACTTGCTGCGGTTATAATACCGTCTGACCATCACCAGGACCAACACTGCTGAGCCACATACTAGAACACACACCACTACAGTGCCTGGAGGAGGATATACCATTGTGGGTTTAGCTTTGATACTGTAAACACCCACCAATGGATATGGCAACAACTGGTCCTTGGGAATTGTGCTTTCCTTCTTTCCCTCTGTCTGTTTTATCTGTAGCTCAATGAAATGTGACACTATACTTTCACAAATGGTCTTTGGGTATGTAAACAGTTTGCATGACTTTCACTGTTGTGTGAAAGAGGTTCTAGTGATTCTTACCAGAGTCACTGAATTTAGTACACACCAGTGGCTCTTCATCCAAACTAGTTGCACCATTCTTCCCAAACAGTGCAAAGGTATAGTTCTCAGGGTTGTCCACAGTGATAGAGACAGGGAAGTTGATGAGTTTGGACAACTCCACCACTGTCAGGAGAGGACTGCCATACTCTCTGTAGACCAGGAGACATGAGGCCTCGGGATAGACCTCTGAGAATTCACAGTCTATCATACAGTTGATGATCCTCTTCGGGATATGCTGGCACTCTTCAAATGGATGGAAGGTTTAACTATGTCAGCATCTGTAAACAAAACACCGTTAACAGTGCTAAGAAATTGCAATGGCTAACCTGAGTTCATCAATATCTGACTCTCCAGTACCACAGCAGGCATGGTGTTGGGTAGTCCATTCTCCTCAAGGTCATATCCATACACAGTGTAAGTGGAGGGAGGGACAGGTACAGTGGTGGAGACAGTGTCCTGAGACTGGGTCCTCAGGAGAGCTCTGAATATGTCAGGAGAGGAGGGAGGTCCCTGAAGGACTACCAGACATCCTGTAGCTCGTGACCCACTCATGAACTCCCCTCTCACTAACACTCCTCCTCCTCCTTCTTCCACTAACAGACTGTGAACATCATAGGTTGCTGTATACACGTGTATTAATTCATGAGAACTATAACATTAATGTGTTGTCTTACTGAAGGTATCATGAGATACATTCACAGGTCCAGCAGCTGTGAACACTTCAAAGAATATACTAAAGTTTTTGTTTGCAGAGAGTGTGTATGTTGAAACTTCATGGTTGGAGGACAAAGAGATAATTATTTTTTAGGTCCATATCAGACACTCCATGAAGAATGTACTCATCTACCATCTCGTTGTGTGCCTGTAGACAATGGCTGCACTATAAGACCATCGAAGAGTTAAAACTTACATAAGTAACTGCAACATCATCACAAAGAGCTTTGATATGAGTTCTGATGAAAGTAGACCTTCCTAAAAGATAAAAGAGAAAATATTATAGAGGTCATGCTCAAGGGACCAAGCTGGTCTGGTTGCAGGTTAAAATTGACATAGCTACCAATGGTAATGTTGGGACTACTCTCTCCCTGGCCAGCTCCATTCAGAGGGATGACAGAGAAGTTGTACACATGACAAGGACTGAGGTAGTCAGGAGTGAAGGTGTAGTGTGTCTCAGTGATATTGATACAGTCAGTACAGAGGATGGCTGTTGGGTTGTTCTCATCTGTCACATTGTAGATGAGGACAGAGTACCAGATATCAGGATCAACACCAGTCACATCCAGAGAGAATGGAGCACTCCACAAGATGGTCACTGAACTGGCATTGCTAATGGTACTTACACCAGTGACTGCTGACAGTGGACCTGGATATAATATATCATGGTAAGTAATTTCATAAAACTTATAATAACTAATACCTTCAATGGTCAATGTTGCGTTGTCACTCTCCACTAAGGGGCCACCAAATATCCCTGACAGACACTGAACTCTAGTTCCATTGTACTGGGCTCTGGCTGGGATGGTCAGAGTCTCCACTGTAGTCCCTTCAGGAGTAGTACTCTCTTCTGAGACAACCAGATCACCACGTATGTCAGGTAAAAGGAGCTCCCGCTGTGTTCCATTAACTCTCCAACCAGTGATACCACCATTCGTCTCACATGTAAAAACCGCTGATTGGTTTAGAAAGACAGTTGTACTCTCAGGAGGACGGAAAATCTATGAAAAAGAAATAGACAATAAATTTTTGCTCATAATTTATTATTTGAACAATATTATATACACCTTGAGCCACACAAGATAAAGTCTATACTGACTGTATCAATATCACTGAGACACACTACACCTTCACTCCTAAATGCTTTAATGAGTACAACATCTCTGTTGTGCCTATCAATGGAGCTGGCCAGGGAGAGAGGAGTGGAAGTTAACTACAAACTGTAAGTAATCGTACTTGTTGTTAGTTTGCTACAACTTGAGCTGAGTGATGAATGATGTTTTGGGACACTCTATTCCTATTGCAGTGTTTCCAGTCATAGAACATTTGATTGAAGCTCTCTCGCGGACTGAATGTGCAGTTTTCTTCTCTTTTTCTGTGAGTCTGAGTCTATACTATACTTTGACAGCATTATCTCATACAGTACAATCTCTCACATAATCGTGCTCCGTTAAAAAAAAAATTTCCCTAAATAGGAGGAATTTCCTGGTGTATGCAACTACAACATTATCCCAGAGACAGCGGATGACTGTACAACTGTCTCACAACCATCACAAGGAGCATCTGTTACCTGTCACCTTGCAGCTGATGCAGAATATTCTATTCAACTGCTCATCAAAGCTACTGGAGACATGGCTACCATACTCATCAATTTCAGTAATGCAAATATGATACTTACAGTGTCAATTATGGGAGCATCATTGCATGTCACAATTTTCTATCTACAGCTGCATTTGATGTCCAGAACGCCACTGTCAATGCTGTCAGTAATGGGATCATTGTAACTGTCAATTTCATCGCCAACACAACAGCCACTGGATGTTTCATAGCTCTACAATCTGAGGATGGGTCACCTGATGAGTTCAGAGCTCTACTGAGACCTGAGTCGGAAACCACTCTGGTAGCTACCATAGACAATATACCATCTTCAACATACACAGCGCTGTTTTATAACCTGGAGCAAGATGGACTACCCAATAGCAATGTGGCATATGAAGGGAGCCAAATTACTGTGGCTGGAGCAGGTTAGGTTTACAAATGTCTGGTGAAGCTATAGCTATACTCTTATTTGAAGTCAGAGGTTATTTATGTTTATTCTCTATTAATAGTTACTGATGCGACTTCACGTTTTCTCCAAAGTGGCAGTGAATTATTCCTTACTGTGGGTCAGCAGTGACTATCACGTGTGAGTTCAAAGAAGGTATAGAGGGAGCCTCATGTGTCCTGGTCTATCGAGAGTATGGTAACAAGACACTAGTGGTGGAGGAATATCCTCAGAACGCTGTCTTCCCTGTGACACTGACTGTTGATGGAGATCTTGAGAAATACACATTTGCTCTCTTTGGAAAGAATGGTTCAATGGTCGATCAAAGACCAATTATAGCAGGAAGAATGAATGTTACTGAGACAACCACACCAGCTATTACTGTATCAACATCCTCTGGTATGTCTAATTAACCCTCGGCGCGCATGTGGAGTATGGTAATGTATTTTAACCCTCGCTGTGCATGCACAGTGGGGGTTACAGTAATTGGATTGCCTGCCTGGCTACCAGTTAAACCTTAACTGCTATGCATAGTGTACACATCAACTCTATGTGCCCGCATTCCTTGCGCCAAGGGCCTGCACTTTATTGCTTTTTCATTCTGTCAGTTCTTGTATAGGATAGATGTGTATGTACCTACAAGCATAATGTTTTCCTTTTTTCTAGATGGAAGAGTATCATCAGTTGCTATTGGAGTGTCAGCTACTGTATTGTGTATCATCGTTATTCTTGTCATCTTGGCTGTAGTTACACTGATTTTGTGGAGGAAGGTAATTTGTGTCACTGATTTTCCATCAGAAATGTTAATATCTCTTATTGCAGTCACACAAAAGCGGTTCTCAAGATGATGGTGGCGCCAACCCTAAAAAGGATGAACATGCTGAAGGAGAAGCCAAACCTCCATTTAGTGGGGAGAGCTTTCACCAAAGACAGGACAGTGGCATTAGTATGAGCACTCATCCTGGAGAGGCCAACCCCCCTCGCAGTCTAATGAGCTCACTGGACAGTGGTATCAACTCCACTCCTCCACTGATGTCCAAACAAAAAGGGATGTACACTGATGTGGAACCCTCAACATCAGGAGTGCAACCCCCTATCCCAGAGGACTCCAGAGTCCAGTACCAGGAGATTGACATCAGAACTACTCATGTCAGCTGATGATCACATGATAATCACATGACTCATGTTATGATCCTCTCTTTCCTCAGAAAATGGCCCGTTCTCAATATGCTGACCTGGGACCTCTTCCTACCAACAGGCCAAAACCCCCCAAGATTGAGACAAAGACACAGAACCCCTATGTTGATGTCCTACCTCACACCGCTACTCCTGTTAATGACAATAGCAACGGAGGTTAGTAGTGATAGCACCATGTAGGTAATTGTAAGGCTGTGTTCTACTACCTAATGAAGACAAGAAGAATGCAGACAAGGCTACACCCAAAGGTGCAATGCCTCATTACTTGTCTTACATTACTACATGTCTCCCCACCCCCTAGGACCCCCCACAGTGGAGTCAGTGATGTCATTGTTGTGGGGTGTGGTAGGTCGTTGGAAGGAGATTGCAGAGGGTCTGGAGTTTGATGAGGATCTGATTGATGAGATAGACACAAACAACGACATGGACGAGGGCTGTCTGCAGGTGTGTGTGGAGATGTGGGTCTCCAAACTACAGCCATCCTGGGAGAAACTGTCTCATGTACTGAGAGATCTGGGGGAAGTGGAACTGGCCTGTCAGGCCTGGAGTGAAGGTTAGGGATTTTATTAGTGACTACTAGACAGAATTGTACTTCTATGCTACATACATAGATCAAGACCCAGACGTTGGTGGGGGAGCAGCAAGTATGTATATGTATGTTTATAAGTGTTGGCTAAGACACAATTATATAGATTTCGAGGTGAAACCACAGGAGTCTACTGCACAGAGTGGTGGCACCGCCACAGTGGCTAGTGAGCTAAGTGCTCCCCAGAATGATGTCAATGAAGTGGGGGAGAGCAGAGGATCTAAAGTTTGTTTCATGGACTAGTAAGTAACGCTTAAGCAAACTGTGTTTCTACAGATCACCATGTTTCTTTGGGACACAAAGAGCTCTGGCAAGTACGATAGGCCTTATGAGGAGCCACTGGTTAAAAGTTTCAAGGAGAACTGTGGCCATAAAGACAATGTAGGCAGCAAGAGTGATGACATCATCAACAATGAAAGCAAAGATGTAATAGGCAATGGTGTTGAGGAGGAGAATAACAATATTGAGCTGTCTTATTTAACTACTAAGTGCATGCAAGAACAGTGTGAAAATGGAGGTGAGTGAGGGAGTATTACATGGCTGCATTTTTTTCACATCTGTATACATATGTATATGTAGAGGCAGCGGTGTTTGCTCTTGGAAGTGTGGACCACAGTGTGTCGGAAGTGTTGAAAGTGGCTGATGTTCACCACGTCTTTGACAGGGTGCTACCACTCCAGAGTAAGGCCATGAGAAGTGAATTTGGTATGTTGTGGTCAAACAAAAAGGTACGTATATTGTATGTACAGTGGCTACAGATGCTAGTGGTCTGGCTAAAGTGGCTGCAAAGCTGCATTCTGAGGGATGTGGTGGTGGAGGGTCAGCCGATAAGGTGTGGTTGTCTCTAACAAAACACATTTGTTCCTTATGTAAACTTGCATTACGCAATGGGCCACCTGTTGACAATTACCATTGTCCCGGAGTACTTACACACACACACACACACATACACACACATACACACATACACACACACATACATACATACATACACACAGACATACATACACACACATACAGGCAGCCTCACACTGCAATGTTCATCTCTATATACCCATTATAGACTACATATGGAATTCAGATTCAGCAGCAGGCAGTGGAATGTAAGACCACTCCGCCCAGACTCACTGACGGTATTGAGTCAACCATGTTCATTGTAAGTGTGGTAGTGAATGTTATACGCCACAGGTGAGTCTCAGAAGCCAGCTGTTGCTGGAGCCAACCGTGTGCCTTCCACTGTGACAAAGTTCAAGAAAAGGAAGAAAAGGAAGAGAAGGAGGAGACGCTCTCTCTCTCGCCACCTACAAGTATGTTACTGAGTGGTTACTTCATCGAAATGATGTCACCTACAAACCATTTTCGTTTTTCCTGTAGGTAAAGAGCATGGCCAGTCTCAGTGTACAAGGACGAAGGCCAAGAAATCGAGTGGGGACATGCCCCTCGACTAATGGGTACTGCACATGTGTGCTGTTTTCAACTTAACTATAATTCAGTTTTAGCAAATGCAGATTGTGTGCTGACTCAAACTTATTTATAGCTGCTGTATATACCTTTTTACTAATATTTGTACTGTTTTGTATATAGAGTATCTCAATTTGATAAGATGACCAATGGAGAAGCTGGCACAGTCATTTGTACATGTAAATTCTATGCCATTTCCACCTGGTAATGAACCGTGATGTCCTGTGGGTTGCCGCAGTTACTGTGTACTAATATGGAAGTAAACAACTACTTACCTGCTGTGCACTAAAAGGAATTCATTCCATGGCTGGTCACCTGGTTGGGGGGAGGAGTCTTTCCCTGCATGCTCTGTGCAC